GCAATCTTCCTCACAAAAAAAAAAAAAAAAGATTAAAAAAAGAGAAAATAAAAAAAGAATTCTCTTCTCTGCAAAGCTCTCATTGACTCCAGTGGTTGTCCAAAATTTCTGTACATACAGGTCACCAGGGCACCTTGTTTGAAATGCAGATTCTTTAGCCCCAGCCACAGAAATTCTGGCTCATCATATCTTGGGTGGAACCCATGAAATCTTCAGTTATAAAAAGCAGTTTGGGTGATTCCAGTGTGGGTGGCCCCTTGATCATAGCTCAACACTCTGTGCACTGCACATGGCAAGTCCTGGCTGGGAATGGAAGCCTCCCGGACAGACACATCACTCAAGAAAATGTGTCCACCCACATGGAATCTAATGTGTTCTCCCACCGAATTCCCAAATGTCTGCATGTCTTCTCCCTACAGCCTGAATTTTACAAATAAGATCATGTTACCCACATATGATAATGATTTCCCATTCCTCTCAAACTAAAATTTAAAGCCTTCTATGATCCGGCCCCTGATCCTCTCTGGTCTTAACTCTTGGATCTCAGCCAGACTCATCCTACCTCACTGGCCTTGAAAGTGGCAAGCGTTCTCCTGACTCAGAGACTTTGCACTTGCTATTTCCCATGCTGGAAATTCTTTCCCTCCAGATATAAACATGGCTCTTGCCCTCATTTTATTCTGGTCCCTGCCAGAGTGTTACCTAATCAAAGAGGCCTTTCTCTACTACCCTATTTATACCCTACCCATGTCCACTCCTTAACACTTCTCGTCACCAGACATATTGTATTCTTGTTTGTTTGCTTATTGCCTGCCGTTCACCACTAAAATACAGACATCATAACTATTCTGTTTTCTCCTTCCACCATGTCTAGAACAGTGCCTGGAAAAGTGAGATGTTCATGATATTTGTAGAATAAATGAATCTTTCAGCATTGTCTCACCAATAAAAAACAGGAAAAAGGGGGAATAAAAGATGAGGTTGGCAATTGAGTGTCCAAGGTAGGCCTGTTGCCAAGACTAACTCTGGGAACAAGACAAAATGGAGCAGGAGACTGAAGAAGCCGTTGAATACAACCCAAGCATCAAGGCTTTTGAGACTAATGGTTTGGGAACCTCAGTAGGATGCTCTCCACCAATGGCTTTTGGGGTGATGGATAACCAAACAATAGAATCCATTTATATTGGCACTGGCAGCAGCACTAGGTTGTTGGGAACGTAAGTGGTCTTGTGGTAGGAGATGCCTGTGAACCCCAGCTTTATCAGGAAGGAGGAAACTGGAATAGCTTTGCAGAAGCCTTGTAGAATCAGCAGCGCTCTCGTTGATTGTTTTTTGGTTGGTCTGTGTTTTTAATGCACTGTACCTGGCAGATAGTAAGTGCTCAATAATGACGGGATGAATAGGGCCTGGATTTGGCAGAAGCTGAGCCTGGATGGTTACTGTTGAGACTGACGGATATTGTTATTCTTCCTGGGTACTGTAGACAACGTGCAAAGAACAAGGACCTTGAAGACAGGCAGAGCTGAGTTCAGATCCCACAGGTGTCACTTACTAGCCTGAGCAAGTCTCAGCCTCTCCTAGCCTCTGTACCACGTCTGCACAATGGGCATAATTGTGTCCCCCACCTCCGTGCTGTTTGCACGGATTAAAGGGATTGAAGCTTGGGTCAGGCTCTTTGTAGTTATTATCAGAATAAGAGTTGGGGTTTGGATGTCTGAATTTCAGGGGGGTTTCAAGTTAGAATCCTAATTTTATGCAGAGTAAGAGAGAATAAAGAGTATGTGATGCTTATTTTTAAAAAAAAAAAAAAAGAAAAAGAGAAAGGATCTGAGGCAAATATGGCCAAATGTTAACAGCTGTTAAATCTGGGTGGTAAGTAAATAATATATTTTTAAAAGAATGTGTAAAATGTCAAAAATTAAGTACTTAATATATGTACTGTTAATAATCTTACAAGATTGTTAACTCTGCTTCTGATCCCTGATGGCCAGTCTTCCCACCATCCCACCCTCGTACCAAAAGGCTTTCCATGCCTTTGGGTGACAGAGATACTGGCTAATGACTTTTTAAAATCCTGAACTGAGCTTGGTTTTAAAGCCCAATTAGACTGGTTTTCATGAGTGCAACTCGTAAAACTGTTAACTCGCTCTAGTTAAAGTTCCACGAAAGCAAGGTCATGTTGCGCTTCATTTATAGTTTTTATCTCATTAGAGAGACTTAATGAATGTTAACTAGCAGGAAAAGTGACAAGGCCAGGATATTTGTACTTGTTAATCCCTATGATTTATTTTTGTAATCCTGCCCTACGATTTTATAGAGTGAGGTTAGCCCAATTCCAAATGGTAAACTAGCAAAATTTGTATCAGACTCTTCATCTATTTCCTGTGAAACTCTGTTAACTCTTCTGAAAACAAAAGCAGGAACAAAACAAAAAAGAACAACTCTGTCTTTGAAGAATAACAAACATCAAGAGCATATGGAATTGCTATGGCTGACCCATGTTTTTGAAGTTTCATTGACAATGTTATGTGGATTAAACTTAAATCACTATTGTTCCAAATTACTTGTTTCTTACTAAGGAAAAGAATATTCTTTTTTTTTTTTTTTTTTGTGAGGAAGATCAGCCCTGAGCTAACATCCATGCCGATCCTCCTAGGAAAAGAATATTCTTGAAGTAATTTTTCTTATCTCTGTAGGAAATACACCAGTGCAAAAAAAGTATTTTTCACATATTTTACTGGTTAACGTCTAGGGCCCTGGACCATCTGGGGTTTACACCCAGCTTCCCCACCTACCACGTATTGATCTTGGGCAAGTTAACTTACATTATCTAGAGCTCAATTTTCTCATCTGTAAGATGGGGATAATAATAGCAGCCATCTCATATGATTTTTGAGAGAATTCAGTAAAGTAAAACATGTAAGTGCTTAGAACAGTGCTGGGCACATTGTAAGCATGCAGTATATGTACACTGTTATTGTTGTTATTATAATAAATCAAGTTACTAATTTCTCCAAGCAGAACTCCTATATCCCTTTGCTGGACTGACCCAGAAACTTGAACATAGTTCTGCTCCTGTACTTGTCACAGCATATTGTACATTTTCTGTTTCTTTGACCTTATCTCCCACTACACTTGAAGATTCTCCCGAGAAGGGACAATATAATACCCTTAGCATAGTGCTGGGAACATCAGTGGGCAAGAATGGCAAATCTTTGGCAAGTGTGCTGTCATTATCCCCTCCAGTACTCATGAAAGTTGCTCCCCTCATCCCACCAGAGTCCTCTTCGACACAGCATTCCTAGGAGTTGCTGACAACAGACGAGAACCAAGCAGTTCAAGATGCAATGTATTTGTTACTCATACAGTAGATGCTCATCAAATATTGAATAAAATATAACATTTCCCTTGCCTTTTTATTTATTTATTGTTTAAAAAAATTTCAAAGACGATTTTTTAGAGCAGTTTTAGGTTTACAACAAAATTGAGAGGGAGGTGCAGTGATTTCCGATATACCCCCTGCACCCACACATGCATAGCCTCCTCCTTTATAAACATCCCTCACCAGAATGGCACTTTTTCTTTTTTACCTAGGATGAACCTAACCTTCTTCCAAGATGCACAGCCTGCAGATCTTGTCTTTGGCTTCCTGGCAGAATGCAGGAGTGTAATATCTTTTGTTCTCCCATCTTTCACCTCTTCCTTAAATTTTGTCCAGTGTTTTATTTTTATTAAGAGTCATTCATTTGTTAAGTTTTACCCATCACATATAAGACCCGATGGTTTCAAAGATAAATAAATAAACGATCTCTTCCCTCAAGAAGGTAAACGTTAATACAATATAAAGCTGTTATTTTATGATTAATTTTGTGTATTTCCACCTCTCCTATTATGCTGGTAGCTCTGGTGGCCCCCTTATGACATGGGGCAAGTTACTCCATGTCTCTGAATTCCAGCTTCTTTTTATGAAATGAAGATAATAATACATATCTCATAAAGTTGCTGTAAGAATTAAGCGAGATAACACACCCTAGAATTTTCTTTCATAATACTGATAACAGTTGTATTTACTGGATTATTTGCTATATGTAGTATCTGCCTTACTAGACTGGGGTCTCTCAGTGTTGTTACTATGCCTGTGTTGTTCCCCTTGATAGCTACAACTTCAACCACTGTGCCTGACACGGAGTAAACCCAATCGCCGTTACTTAACGGTTAATCATGATTAACAATAGTAAGGGTGAATCTGGAAGCAGCTGCAAAGATGGAATTCAAGCTATTTGTGTCTGGCTCCTTTAGTTTGAGGGACATTGAGAAAAGAAGTTCATAAACTTGAGATTTTCTTTATGTAGCAATATTTTGTCGCTGTTATGTATTTTTTACATGGGAGTATTTTGTATTAGGATGAATTTTCCTCTGTTTGAGCAATAGCCCTTTTAAACCATCTAATAATTTGACAAAAACTAAAATTCATTTCCAGTATGATAGCCTATGAAAAGTTCTCTTGAACGGTGTACAAATGTTTAAAACTATATATTTGATGATATATATATATATATATTACATATATATCTCTATGTATAGATGTATGTGTTGTCTCTCTCTATCTGCCTATCTATTTATCTATCTAAAATTTGCAGGTAAAGGAAAGAATTCCTTTCCTTTTCATAGTTACACAATGGAATTTTAACTAAAAAATAGCAGTTTTGTTCAAATTTTTTCTTTGAAGGTAGAATTACTCCTGTGGATATAAATCCTATATGATAAACTTTTCCAAAGTAAGCTTTGAATATTTATGATTCAAAATTATCTAACAAGAGAAACAAATGTACAACTGATTACTAAAAGTTCAAGGGTTTATCTTTTTGAAAGAAGTAAAGGCTGTTTGTTAGTAGTGCAATCACAGGGCTTTGATTTTTGTTGTTTGACAGGAAATAAGTAGCGTATTGTATGATGAAGCCAGCCCTGGTGGTCTAGTGGTTAAGATTCAGCACTCTCACCGCTGCTGCCTGGGTTCATGTTCCGGTCAGGGAACCACACCACCCATCTGCGGATTGTCATATTGTGGCGTCTGTGTGTTGCTGTGATGCTGAAAGCTATGCCACTGGTAGTTCCAATAACAGCAGGATCACCCATGCTGGACAGGTTTCAGTGGAGCTTCCAGGCTAAGACGGACTAGGAAGAAGGACCTGGCCACCCACTTCTGAAAAAATTGGCCAGAAAAACCCTATGAATACAGCGGAGCATTGTCTGATACAGCGCCAGAAGGTGAAAGGATGGCGCAAAAAGACTGGGCAGGGTTCCACTCTGCTGTACACAGGGTCGCTAGGAGTTGGAATCCCCTCGACACTCTAACAACAAATTATATGATGGGAGGAGTAGCCAAACCTGCCTCTGCCCCTCGCTTTTCAGATTCCTCGAAGTGTTCTGTCCATTTGCGTTCTTTTAGTTCAGGACTCCTTAACATTTTTTGGTACCATGGAAGCCTGGTGAAGCCTCCAGATCCCTTCTGAGAATAATGCTTTAAATGCATAAAATAAAATGCATAAGATTATAAGGAAACCAATCACATACGGTTATCAAAATATTTGAAGATTTTTGATATAGTAATATATGTGCATCTTTATCAATAAATAAGACCTAGAAATTGAATAACCAATGATGGGATGAGAATAAACAATATTTTGAGATATCAGTAACAATTGTAATGTGATATGAAAATATTCGTGATTTCTGCTGTTCACAAAGTCACAGTTGTTGCCAGTACTGCTATTGTGATATTGCCTATGTTTATGATCAAAGGGAATTCTCAATTTTCGTCAGAAGTTAGTGAAAACAAAACACTTCTGTTTTAGCTGGGTGTTACAGTGATGTAAAATGGTGTTAGCTTGGTTTTTGTCCCCAAATAAGACTTTTTTTTGTAGACCTGCTCCTTTTTTTCCCCATTTTCTCTTTTCAGCACAACACTTGACTTCACTACAAGTAACAGGACTTTTTTAATGACATGAATATGCACCACACAGTCTTAAGAATAAAAAAAGATGAATGAGCATCTGAACCTTACTGAAAAGAAAGAAAAAAGACCTTCTCACGAGCATGGTTATATTTGCTAATTGGTAAAATTAACTGTACTACTTTCTAGCTCATCGCTTTATTTATTTTGGTGTTACACATTGAGGCTTAAAGAGACTTCTGGAGCTAGAGAAAGAGTGAAGTTATCTAATGAAAGAAGGAGTATCCAACATAAAAAGCCCAAGCTATCACTCAGGAGTGTGAATGTAAGATCAAAGATGCTACTTTGGGCAACAGTTGAATGAATTTTTAATATTTATCAATTTTTATTACAGACACAGCCTGGTTTTACAAAGACATTGTCATGTTTTAGGTTTTCTCATCTTAGTTTCTTTTGCTCAGTGCTTTAGAAATGTCAGTTGTTCAAAATAATATCGCCCTGGCATTTAAAACTTGGTTCATAGAAGTGTATATATATTTTTTAGAATGAACAATATATCATTCTTTAAAATGAAGGTTATATTGATTTTTTTCTCATACTATTCTTTAGAAAACAGTCTCTCTTTTTGCTAATGAAATCTGTCCATTCTTGCTCGTTAATAGACCTTATAGTACAACATGTGAGGATGCTTAGATTCAATTCTATTTGAATTGGACAATATTTGTAAGCACTTAGTGTTGACAGACACTGCTGTAGGTGTGTAGGGGAATATAGAAAGGAATAAGAAACCACACATTCCCTGATGGTTTCGAATGGTTCAGAAAAAGAGAGAAAGGGACCTAAAAAGTGAGAAAAAAGGTAAAATAATAATAACAGTCATTATTATTGGGTGCTCAGTACTGTTAATTCAGTATTGCTCATTCTACAAAGTAGCTTTCAGCTACAAATAACAAAATTCCAACTCAAACTGGCTTAAAAAAATAAGGTGATTTATTACTCATTTAGTTTCAGAGGTAGGGTAGCTCAAGGGTTGAACAAATCAATGGCTCAATAACATTTGTAAGAACTCAGTTTTTTTCCCATTTTTCCCTGTGTCATTCTAGTTTACACGTCTGGCTTTATCATCAGTCTGGCTTCCCTTTGTGATAAGAGGCTTCCCCACTTTCAGGCCTCACATAAAGACTTTATAGCATCCAAAAGAGGAAAGAATCTTTTCTTGTGAACTCTTAGAAGCCAAAACAAAACAATAAAACAAAAACCAAAAACAAACCACAAAGCAAAATAATGTGACCAAGCAATCTACCTTCCCCCAAACAAAATAAAATAAGCAAAACAAAAACCTTTACCAGAAGCTCTCGGCAGACAACCCTTCATATCTCATTGTCCTGAATTATTTCACAAACTTTTGTCTAAAACCATCACTGGCTAGGGCAGTGGGACCACCATCGTTGGGTTAGACCAATCAAAATTCATCCCACTCCCGGAACTGCTGATGGAGCCTGCCTCCCTGGAAATGTGTGGTTGCATTGAGATAGGTGGGTTTCTGAACAAAATCTAGGGTCTTTAAGAAGAAGGGGAGAATGGATGATGGGTTGGCAACCGACTGAGTCTGCTGCAGCAGCCTTTATTATTTTTGAATTATAGTTTTGTAAATCGAAACTCAATGATGTTAAGTGATTTGACTAAGATCTACGTTTAATTAGTAGTAGATCCAGATTTTAAATACAGGTCATTGTGTTTCCAAAGACTCGGCTCTTTACTGCATCACTCTCAAGGGTATAAAGACTACAATGGAACTATTTTAAAGTGCTGTATCTTTTGATCCATGATATCTTTTGAGTCATGAGCAATATCTCAGGCAGAGATGTTGCATTTTGTTGTTGATATAAGGCCTTATTTTATGAAACTGAATATAGTTTAATAAAAACACATGCTCCCTACTTTCTTTTCTCCTTGCTTCCCACACTTGCTCATTATATTCCTTCATCTTCATGGGAACAACAAAGCTAAACTATGTGTAAAAATAGAAACAGCTCTGGCTTGCAAACATCACAACCTCTTTGTACACGATTTAAGATTGCATCTAATGTGTCAACTTCTTGAAGACATCAACAGAATTCTAAATGTGTTTTACATCTTGTAATTCATTAAAAGCAGCGGCATTTTTACTGATGGGGCAAGGACAAAAGCCTTGTTTGTCAAGACATTTTCTTCACTTAGTAATAAGGCAAAGATGAAATGAATGAGTTGTTTACACCTGTCACTAACCTTAGATTTCCTTTTCCTATAAGCCCCCAAATAAGTTGTAATTTAAAACCTGAGATGCTGTGAAACTTAATTTAAACCCTATGCTTCATTTGCCTCTCCAAATCTTGAGCTTATTCTTCCTAACTAGGAGACTGAAATAAACTCTAAGCATGATACTTTCTTCATATTAACTATTGCATCCAGAGCCTACCAGAGAATATGATGGAACTCATTTTAGTTAACCAAAGTCAAAGAAACACTCAGCCCCAATTTCTAGAACCTATCACTTCTAACATCTTGACATTGGGTAACATACTTTTCCAAATAAGGTAACTTAAAAAAATCATTTAGTTATTTAAGTCACACCAGGTGGAGTATACACCATAGTTCCTGTGTTTCCAGTTGAGCAAAGAGCTTGATCATTTACTCAGTAACTTGGATGCTGTCCTTGATGTCATTATCTCCTTCATCCCCTTAACCAATTTACCAGGAAGTCCTGACAATTCTTTTTTTTTTTTTTTGTGAGGAAGATCAGCTCTGAGCTAACATCCTTGCCAATCCTCCTCTTTTTGCTGAGGAAGACTGGCTCTGAGCTAACATCTATTGCCAATCCTCCTTTTTTTTTTCCCTTTTTCTCCCCAAAGCCCCAGTAGATAGTTGTATGTCATAGTTGCACATCCTGCTAGTTGCTGTATGTGGGACGTGGCCTCAGCATGGCCGGACAAGCAGTGCATCAGTGCTCGTCTGGGATCCGAACCTGGGCCACCAGTAGCGGAGCGCGCGTGCTTCACCGCTAAGCCACCGGGCCGGCCCCCTGACAATTCTAATTTTCAATGAATTTTCAAAATTTCTCTTCTCCTTCACATTGTCATTCTTTTAATTCCTACTTTGGCTACTGCAAGCCCTCCTACCTGCTTTGCACCAATCCACTTTTTCTCCTCTCCAATCCACACTACTACCAGAGTGGTCTTTTTAAAAGGCAAATCTAATAATGACCTCTCTGTGCTTAATGCAGTTAATATTTTCCCACTGCCCTTAGAGTAACTTCTTTCACATGGCTCTTGGGTACTTTGTGATCTGCCTCTCTGTTCTAGCCTATTGCCAGGCTCTGGTCCAATACCTCCCAGTGTGTCATGGCTTTACCAATGTGTGTTGATTGACTAATTAGGGTATATGTTATTCCTTATCAAAGGGTTCTTCTGAAATGATACAAACCTATTTCTCTCTGAACCCTGCTTAATTTAAAAAAGAGAACACACTAAATTAACATTTAAGCACAATTCTCTGCTTGTTGAATTTAATATTGGACAATTTTAATAATTGTACAAATTATTTTGCCTGGCTCTGGGTAATTAGTTACTGTAAAATGAATCCTTACAAAAACAAAGTGAAAGAACCAAAACGCCTACCTGTTTACTTAAATATGCTAGGGAAAGTTGAGATAGAGGTTGTAAGATGATTGCCACAGACCACAAAAAGACTGGATGCCTTGGTGGAAATTAACAGTTTGGATATTTGAGCCACTAGAGGGCTGTAATTAGACTATACTTCTGTTTAACCCCCAAGTTGTGCTTTTAGTTTCTCTTATTACTAATGTCAAATTCATATAATCTGTATAGTTTCAGTTGGTTAGACAGAAATACGAATGCTTATTATTGCATATGTCTGGATGCCTTGTGGAGCATTAAGTGTGTTTGTGTAATCAGAATTCTTTGAGTTGCATTAAATTTCTTCTTGGAGGCTGGAAAATATTTGACTTAGTTTCCTCTCTTCTGTAAGATGAGGAATTAAAATCCTTCCTAAAGCATTTTGTTATTGCTGTAGTTTTTCTTTTGTGGGGTAGATAGTAAGAAATCAGGTAATTTGTGAAATATCGTTTGATTACCTAAAAAAAAAAGTTTATAATTTTAACTAAAAAATATCATTATTGTAAACT